AAGGTCCTGTACATGGGTCGGGTCAGTCTCAAGCACAAGGACAGGCTGGGCGGACAGTGGATGGAGAACAGCCCTGAGGAGAAGAACTCGGGGGTACTGGTGGACGAAAAACTGAACACGAGCCGGCAGTGTGCACTGGCAGCCCAGAAAGCCAACCGTATCCTGGGCTGTATCCAGAGAAGTGTGGCCAGCAGGTCGAGGGAGAGGATTCTCCCTCTCTAATCTGCTCTTGTGAGATCCCACCTGGAGGGGGGTCCTGAAATGCAAAATCTTTGGATAAAGAACGAGTTTATTTCTGACCATTTCTAGTCCGTCTCACTATCACAATCCAATCTTTCCCACAGAGTCATCTGTGCAACTGACAATTCTTTAATATAATTTCTTGATGAGATTGCTAATGTTATGCATTGACTTAAACAATAGTTGAGTCAGACCACTTGGTAGGCTCAAAAAGTATGAAAGCAGACAATAAAGGGCACAGTTTGAGCTTTAGTATCTGTCTTTTACTATGATTTGTTTCACATGCAGATAGAACTTGTGACTTCTTGGCCGACAACTCACTTTTAAATCTCATACCTATTCCTGACATCTCTATTTGGAACACCCTGTCTCCATGTAGTTTAAATCAGCACACTGATTTCACAGCCCTTAGAAAACTCAACTTCTCGTGGTTGATATTTCCTAACTTTAATCAAAGTAAATCTGGCAATCGGTTATAGTAATTAAGCTTTTTAAATATACAGGAATAGCAGACATAAGTATTCCAGTGAAGCATTTTAGAATGTTAGTTTTATTTAGTTTGAAACTACCTAATATTTCTCTTAAAACATAATTATAAATAAAGCAGGTGTGAGTTGGGGAGAAAAACCTTCACAGTAGTGCTTGAATATGTACCTATATATGGCCTAAAGAAGGCTTATTTGCTCCTTAAGGCACATAAAGAATTTAGTACCTTCAAACTATTAGAGATTGCTCTCATTTATGGGGTAAAAAATCATGTAGTTGTAACTGAGGTCAGGTCATGAACTAATGACTTCTTCAATAACAACCCAAATGTGTTACAAAGTGATTTAGCCAACATGCACGTTACGTGGTTTATGAAGTTCTGCAATGACTTGTGTTGCCTTACCTTTGTATAACTACATTAAATACATGAGTTGGGTTTTTTCCTCAGCTGTGTTTGAAAGACTGCATATATTTTGGTTTTGAACAGGATTTGGAATAGGTTTGGTTTTGTTTTTTTTTTTTTTAAAAAAGGACTCTCAAGATGTATGGAACTCTGTTTTCTACTTTATAGTTGTGTGGATACTTTTCATTTCTTTGGACTCCTCAGTTTCTCTTGGCCAAAGTTTCTGGTTTAAGATTTACATCTCAGTCAGCACGGCTGAGTCCCATTCATGCTTCGTCACTAACTTCTACTTCCAATACACTTTGCTAACACTCAATTGCTATCACTTGCATCAACCTGCTGTCTGGAAATGAACTCTGGATACTTATTCTTTGTATGCAAGCACCACTCCAGCCATGGCTGAGTGATGATGTTGAAGTAGTGATGCAGAAAATGATAGTTTACTCCCTGAGTCTCTGCACATTCTGCCTGTGGATAAGGACCTTTTTCTTCACAGGTTTCTCCATAAAGCCAAGTGACAGACAGTTTCTCCATAAAGCCAAGTGACAGCCAAGTGACATTTGTGCAGACAGTTGAAAAGCTTTGATTGCTTAACTGGTCAGATGAAAATCCTGCAAGAATGACTTCTATAAAGAAGGCAGATGAGTAATGCTCTTCTTGTAATGAACTGGAAGAGAAACAAGAACGTAATGAACTAAATAATGACAAAATCACTTCAGAATTTTGTATGCATATGTATAAGAGAAAATTCGTAACATGACAGAATGCATCAAATATCAAAACACTGGACAGTATGCTATATTAAAAGAGTGTTGAGAACTTCCATCATCACATTTCCAGGGTTTATCCAACTCTTGCTTTAACTTCCAGGGAGGAGTATCCTTTGAAGAGAGCAGTGGATGATCTCAAGGCTGACCTAGTGTGTCATTGCATAGTTTCTGTATCTTAAAACTGTTGGATTTTTTATTTAGTCTAGAATTTTTTAAAAAAATAATGTGTGTGGGAGAAAAACCCAGAACAATAATAATAATAAAGACTAACATGTAATTGAGGTTTCTACTGTGCTCTTATATAATTCTGTAAATTGTTCTTAGTTCTTTTATTTCTTGCACTTCTGATCAAGCAGAACATGCTGAAGCTGAATTTAAGCTATGCTCTGTCCCGTTGAGGGTTTGTGGGCTAAAACCAGACCATCCTTTCTACTGGGATACATAGAAAGTTAGGTCAGTGTTGAATAATGTATTATTAGAGTGTGATAGCTCAATCTAACTGCCCATCTTCTCCCCCGCAATGTCCTGTTTTGCAAATAAAAATTCCCAGCTTATAGCAACTTTAGCTCCTGCTCTTCCTATTGTAATACAGTCAAAAATATTGTAACCCATATCCCTCAACTGTCTTTAAATTTGTATTAAAGAAATATATATATTTTCTACAGAAATACATATGTATATATGTATACATAAATATACACATATATATAAACGTTTTCTATTTATCTGCTCTTTTTGCTCTAACGGTTGTTTGGTTAGCATTTGACTATAACCAGATTTGTTAAAAACTGACAATAATTGGAAGTAATTACTTTTATTCAAAGATATAACTTGACATTATTAACATTATTATTGATTAACCCGTGTCTCTACAAAACATTTAATAGGAAAAAAAAACTTATTCCCTTCCTACTATTCAAACAGATGTAAGGAACCAACCCTTCTGTATCTTTTCCACATGAAAATCTCCTTTGAAAAAAGATAAGCAGTCTTTGTGGTCATGTTGAAATATGCTGTTAAATACGAAGAGCTCCTAGTACATTTTTAAGGTGCTGATACAGCTTTCAGATCAGGAAGTTCCCAATATTTTATGTACTGAAATGCTATGCTCCAAGGTAATAGTGACTATTTAGTAACTCTCTGCATCTTCTGTAAAATTCCTATTTAGATTTCTTTTAAAAAAAGATTAGATACACAATTTAGTTTCTTCAGTGTCACTTGTTTTCCCACAGCTTTTAAACATTTTCATTTTGTGCATAAACCATTTCAAGTACTCTGAAAACTATTCTAGGTATTAATGTACTCAAAATAGAAAATTAGTCAGTGGAGCAAGAATGACTAGAGTTATACTGAAAAATAACCTCTGGGTGCCTACAGCTCAATTTGCCTTTTACAAATAATAAATACTTGCCTCCTGTCCATATTTTAGTTAAAAATATAGAAGTATATTATGTCTGATTAGGAAAAATTTTTACAATTTTTGTTTCAAAGCAAAATGAAGAAAGAATTCAGTGCACTTACAAAATAAATGCAAGTGTGCCAGCCTGCAGTTAGTCAGGGAAAGTAAATTGCAAATACAACAACTGTGCAAACAATAGTTATTAATCACTCAAGTCTACTTAAATTGTCCACATCCACACTCGTCAGTTAAAGAATAGGGAGTACGCATGTTCTGTCCTGCTCCCACACTAGTAAAAGCTGTATACCCCTCTTGAGATAGACGGAAGAAAACAGCTGGAGCTAGGTCATCAGAGTTAAAATTGTTATAGTGCCAGTAAAGCAGTTGACAACTTACTGGTGTCAGTTTCTCACAGTGACTGAGATGCTTGTTTAGTCAAAGCAAAAGACCCTGAATTTCATAAATCAATGCAGCATTTTATGTTTCTCTTAAAATTAATATAATTTCAATGTGCTAAAATTCATTTCAAGATAAGGGTCGCCTTTTTTTTTGTTTGTTTTGTTTTGGCTGCATGTAAAACTTCTTTGTGTGCTTTTGATCCCCACCAGTGTCTATTACACCTGCAGCAAAGTTGGCCTGGGTTTGATTTGGTTAGGCATCTCTTAGCTAATTACATTCTTAAGAAGGATTATGGATATGAAGGGTGAATATACAATAAAATAATAGATGTCAATGAAATATGAGAAAGAAATCCTCTGACTGTGTTGAGAGTGACAAATAAATTAACATTATTACCTTTAAATTCTGAATATGCTGACAGTATTTTGCCTCTGGAAAAAAGAATTCTAGGGAGTTTGCTGTGGGCATTTCAGTAGAATCAGCTGATAAAATGCAGCTTGTGCCCTAACCAGCTGTCAAGACTTGCTTCAGGAAGTTCCCTGGAGCTGGAGGCTTGCATTTAGCTTGATGGGTAGCTGCATTTTTCTGTCTATTCAGCTTTAGACTTGCCTTGAAAAGTCCCTGATATCTCAGTCATGCATTTCTAGATCCTGGCCAGATGTTGCTTATTATTAGTCTGGTTGTACTTCCATGGCCACTGTCAACAAAAAAGGTTGCAGTATCAACTAACCAGCTAAAGTACATAAAAAGTAGTTTCCTTTTTTTCTTATAACTTGTTCTTTATAAATATTATCTCAAATTATGGAGATGAAAATGAAATTAAAGACAATCAGAATTCATCATTCATCTTTTCTGTGACAGGCTTATATGAAAACATGATGGGATTGCAGCTCCCTTTCATGGGATTTCTTAACATTATTTTGGGTCAATTTCAAGTGCTGTAATCAGTGCAGCTCCTAACCTTACAGGGAAACCATGCCAAGTTATACCAGTTCAGAATCAGGCTTATTTTTGCCATCCTTCTGGTATTCTTTTAAAAATAAACCTCTTATTCATGTTTTATCATGTAAACATTCAGTTGTTTATAACAGAATTAGAACAAATGCACATTCTTTTCTTTGACAATTGAGCAAAATAGTTTAACAAGAACTTGTATAGTAGATTCAATGTAAGAAATATCAAGGAAGTATTGTTAGAACCTGTGCAGTTTCTGTCTTTTTGATTTGTCCAGAGTTTGTTTTCAGGTGATGTCCAATATAAATATTCCCTGTTTGAAAACTGAGAGCACCTGTGGATAGACAAATCCTTTGAAGTCTGTTCAATCCTACGGACCTTCAGTGATTTCTTTGAAACCTTGAGCTGTTCTTCAGTTGGACTGATGGTCACTTCGAAGATGCATTGCAGTAGGTTCAAAGAACTGGAAGAAAAGTTTAGAGGAGAACTTTAAGCTATGGGTTGTTGACAACAAAATTAACCAACAAAACCACCTGATTTCTAGCTGTCTCAACAGACAATATAGAACTTCATTACAAGAGAGAATCCTCTTAGAATATGATGTTCATTACCTAGATTATAAAAGCTCATTCATAAGTTTGTGTGGCAATGACTGTTTTCTTCTGCCCTTTATTTTTCCAGTGTTTAAACTGAGACATGATGTCATGATACGCACTGCATACTTAATGAATATTAACATGCTGGAGTTAAATACTTTCCCAGATTTTGTTTCTTTCTCTGTTCTTGGTTTTTCCCACTTGACCCATGCATGATCAGCATCAGCATCTTCTTCTTCAGCCTGTTATGTACCTGTTTTTCTGCCAGCCTATTATGTTCTCTGGGTCTAAATACTATCCAGCACTCAGCATGTTTAGCACGTTCAGTGACTTTGTATCTTGCCATGCTCCCAAACATAAAAGCTGGCCTCTCCTTGTTTTTCTGCAGTTTATCATCAAAAGTTTAACACTATATCATTCTTTAGTTTGATTCAGTCCATCTTCACTATACAAACTTCCAAATCCTAAAATGTTTGTGTAATTCACAGTTTTAGTTTACATGTATAGTAGAGAAACTGCGAATAACCTGCAGTCTCCCAAAAGAAAATTATTAAATGGAGAGCGAAGAAAAAGATACTTCAAGGAACACTTTCAAAAGTACTCAAGCCCCAAGGTTCTTATAAATATTATTAGATACAATACACAAGATGACTACTTAATTTCTGTAACATATGTCCCATTACTTAAGCCATAAGAAAACTCCTTAGTAGTGCACAGAAATACTACAGAACTGGTTAGGACAGAGCTCCTCATTTCATGCAACTCTGTGTTGCTGATCCTAGCTGATGCTCTGAATCCAGAACGTGAAATAAAAACGGATTCTTGCACTTCCTTCAAAGTCAAAGTAAGAATCTGGCCAGAAGATAATGACATTAGTTGAAAATTACCTTTGATTCCAGTGCTAGTAGCCTGCTTTTACAGACAGATTCAGGAAATGCTTCTTGATTTAGTCTATATGCACTGTTCAAAGACATTAGGTAGCTGTTTGGTTTAAGAATCTCCACAGTAACGGACTTAGGTGAATGATGTTCTGCACTCCAAACTACACTAATCAAAATCCTAGAAAGGTGCACCACAAGAACTTGTGCATAGGAAATTTAGTTATTTCAATAAACTGATTAGATCTTTTTTTTCCATTTTGTTTTTTAAACAAAATCCAAATTAACTCACAGAAATAACTCAAAAAAGAAAAGCTAATATACCTGTAATACTGCACAATATACACATTCTAAATGAATTTAAATTTCTTAACTGAATAATACTGTACCAATATTTAATCTTTGGGGTTTGAGCCTGTGATTGAGTTCAACTGGCCTTGAAGCACACTAGGCTTTTCTCACCTAACTCTTGTATCTTCTCTGCTTCAATGGAAAGGCTTACATATATTTAATAGATTTTTAAAGCAAAATCAATCCTGGATTTCCTTGAAAGTAACAACTGGTAAAGTGATACAACACACTGAATTTGAAACCTCAAAATATATATCACAATCATTATTAGTTACAACTGATTACACAAAAAGAAAAATGTAATTTATTAAGAATTTGATCTACATTTTACATAATTGTTTACATTTTTCATCATTTGAAACAACCCAGCTGTCAATACGGATCTGTTTTCTAAGTCTTGCTGCTGGATTTGTGTCATTCTATAAAGCGAATACAGAACATAAATTCTGAGTTTGTGAGCAGGTTTGTGAGCTTGCAAAAGTGGCATTTTAAAAATATTTATAGTCAGCACTATGTCCTAGACTTCAGAAGTATTTTAAAAGCCTAGTTTTAATATAACTATTAATGTACAACATTCAGTGTAAATATTTCATCACTACTAGGGGAAATAGTTCTATGTTCCAAATGGTTGAATGAAATCACTGGAGTTATGGCAAGCTACACAAGCTGAGGAACTGCCCTCTAAACAGAAGCTGTAATGATTATACATGAGCTTTTTTGATACTTCCTTTCTCTGACTGAGATAAGTAATTAGCACACATAATCAATATTTTAATAGCAGGATCAGTAACTCTGGCACAAATGCTAAATTTCTCATTGGGCAGATTTTGAGTGGCCAGGAGTTAGCAGCTGTGACCTCTTGAGAGAGACATCTGCAGAAACATTTGTAAGAGATAGTGCCTCCTATCTTCCTGCCCTCCTGATTTCACATAAGCTGCTTGGCAGCACACTCCATCTTTGACAGCATTTTCCAGATCATACTAGTAGCATAAATCAGCAAAATTAGAGGTTAGTAGCCCCTACTTCAAGCAGAGGCAAGATGCCACCAATCAGCTGATCAGCACTGTCTTGTTACTTTGAACAGCAACATCTCTTGGCTGTCCACGAGATTTCCCTTGGCCTGCTTTACCTCTAATCTAGGAAATAAAGGTGCAATCTGCTCACCACTCATACCAGATTGCTAGCCTCTGTTTTTATTGATCTGGGGATATTGTGCATTCAGTACTATCTAAATGCCATCATTATCTCTCTAGCTGCCCTAAATAAAGCTAAATGTACCAATCATACTGACTGCAATGTACAGTGAGATTCAAAAACTATGGCAACGAGGCACATGAATATATTTTTTTACCAAGGAAACGGGACACCAATAGCTGTGTTTAGGCAAAAGGGAAAAATTAGAGAATTAAAGCATTAAAGACTTAAAAGTTTAATGACTGCTTGAAAATTATAAGCTAATCACTGACTGATTATTCTAGACATGCTCAATTTGCAGGGCACACATCTCTTACAGACCTCATGGATATCTAAAGACTCTGTGCTCAATTCAAACAAACTTAAGCAAAGAATTTAGCAGCTTTATCAGCATAAACAGTTCAGCTATACGAAGAAACAGGAAAAATCAGTGATGTGTAACAAAAGGGACCTGACTCATAAACTGTGTACTGCAGTTGCCTATTTTTCACACTAAGAATAAATGTTTAGAATGAATAACAAACTTGTTTTGGGAGACTGTTATCTTATTACCTCACTAAGCAAACCTTAGGAGATATTAAAGTTCTTATCTACTTCACTGCATTGCTTGAACAGATAATTCTACTATTCCTTACTGCAGATAGGAAGATTAAGAAATGGAAGATTTAAGATTAGTTTGTTTGCTGAGAATGGCCTCCTATGTTGTCTTAAACAATGTGTTCTGCTCAGTGCAACATGGCCCAGAGGTAAGTGTTTATATTTCTGATCTTCAAAGAGCCTTTCTGCATTGTACTGAACACCACTACTACTGGAAGCCACAGCTGGTTTTTTAGAGAAAGCTATTATCAGTAACTTTTCTCAGTCAGGACTGATTGACTGGAATTACAAGAGTAAATGAACAATTAAAATAATATTTGTCAACTAAACATATTACATACTAAAAACAAGTATTCAGAAATTCTACTACTCACTTCCATAGTGTCTTTTGAAAGATAAACGACCCAGTATACCAGGTTGAATCCTGCAAATGCCACTGGAAAGAGGATCCTAGAATACTGGTCTATTTTACTTGTGCCTCCAATAGGTGGTGGTGGTGGTGGTGGTAGCGGGGCTGGTGGAGGAACAGACACTGGTTGACACTGGGATGCACTGTTTGATATTATGCTGGCTTCAGGAGATTGATCTGCCTGAGACGTTACAGAGTTTACTCGCTTCTTCAGGTTACAATTGGAGTCAGAATGCTGTGGAATAAAAAAGAAAAAGAAGGAAAAAAAGGGTGATTTTTGGATACAGAGTCTTAGATTCTGTGGTCATTAGGCTTCTCTCCACTTTTCTACTCAACTTTCTGATTTTATTGCTGCTTCTCTCCTATAGAGCAACCTAAGGTAATCACAGAAATAATGCAAATATACAGAGGTACATTTGTGGCCTAAAACTTTTTTGTAAAAATATGAAAGAATATGTGCCTTCCATATGGTGATAAATGGAAGCTACAAGAGAGAAAATAAAAGAAAAGGTGGAGCTCAAAGGAAAAGAAAAGAAGGTAACGGTGTATCTAAATTGGTACATATTGGCATGACTGAAGTTTATGTAGATGTGAATCAAGGTTAAATAAGACAGCACATACGGGCTGGCTCACACGCAGTCTCCGCTGTGTGACCCCACTGATGCGTTTTGGTAAATGCTCACTGAATGGAGTCAAGCATTCACACTGTTATTAGTCCCCAAACTAGCTGCTGATGAACTAGAAAACTGCTGCACAAAAGGAAATGGACTAACTTTACAGGTGCTGAAGACATGAAAGCTGAGTTTTCCTGTAGTTTTTTCCAGGATGAAATTTCATTTTCAGACATATGTCATGATTTCCACAGTTTTATGCATACAACTGAAGACAAATACTCATACTCACTGTAATGTGACTTTTTATTTTCATTTACAGTAAAATGAAACCAAATTATTCCTATATTTTGTGCAATATGCACAGCCAGGTCAAATTATTCTTCAGAAAGCTGTATGAAATCTTACAAATTTAGCCAGACCTCAGGAACATTTAGATTTTACCTCTTAGTTGCTAGGCTGACATGTATATTCATTAGGTACACCTGGTTTTGGCCAAGTTGCCAGTTTTTATTTTCTCAAGAGTAGAAGTAAAAGATTTCTTCCTTGCAAGAATGGCTTAGGATCTACCACAGGTTCTAAGCCTGCTATAATGAGTATCAGTTACCCGCTGTCACAGTAGTATCAAATGGGAGGAAATTTTCAAAAAGCTACTGCCACTACCCAGGACTACCATTAATAATGTGGATGTGTGGCAGCAACCATAAGGTTCGTCTGATGGCTGAGAAAATACAGAAGAATGCTAGTGTGTCAAGTCGTTTTTTATTGGTTTGATATGAAGTACTCAAATTTTCTGTTAATAGGGAGCAATAGAAATACCTTGGACTTGTTCCTGTGTGATCTACTCTAGGTGATCCTGCTCTGGCAGGGGGGTTGGACTAGATTATCTCTAGAGGGTCCTTCCAACCTCTACCACTCTGTGAATCTAACAAGCTAACATGATTTCAGTTGAGTTTGAGTCTAAAGCTTGATCAATAAAGGATTGCAAAACTTCCAGATTATTAATGAAAAATATTGTGTAGCAAAATTGCACAATATACACAGCTATTCTTGGGTTTGAAAAAGCAACTCTTTTGGTCAGCAGAACTAGATGACCAAATGACTGAATCTAATGAGAGAAGTCCTAGACAATGTAAATAATTTGCAATACAACAGCATATGTCTCTATTGTAAAATGTAATAATAACATTTGAATTGTTTTAAGGAAGCAAAATTCTGTTAGATATGCGATTTCCAAAGTTGTTCCTTGGGAGTAATTTAGTGACAATCATTCACTTAAATGTAGTTTGCTGTCAGTGTTTTGGGAATTTATCCTGCAATATTTCTATGCATGGAAACAGATTTTAGTCAGTCAGATAAGTGAATGGGTAACAACCCAAAAGCAAAAGAAGCATTTTGTGAAATACACTGCCAATACTTGTACTTGGGCCACAATTTCTAGATAAAAGAGTAGCCTAACACGCCTGGTATGTCAGGTATGACTTAAGAGTTATAACAGGAATTATCCTTTTAGCAGTCAGTGTTAACTGCCAGAGTACCAGAGCAAGGGATATTGCTACAACATCATGCCAAGTTCTGCTCGTGGCTGAATGGACTGGTATTCAACTGAAATTAGAGAGAAATGGATTCCTCACAGCTGATAGTAGGCTAAGTAAAAGGTGGAGAAAACAGCACCTTATTTGAAAAATAGAAGTGCTTTTTCTGTATATATCTTTTATACTTATTAACTTTTTCTTCTCCCACATCCCATGAACACTTTCAACTTGCCTTATCCCTCTTTCTTCTACTTCATCATCTACACATTAAATGATTAGTATCATGTTTTGAATGGATATTAAATGGCATTCATATCCTGGGGCTGTGCCTATCTGGAACGCAGATGTTTGTTTTTGTATTTTCCAGTAACACAGCAAGCAACAGATTTAAATGGAGGATGATCTACAGATGTATTCAGAAACAAAAAGAGGGTTATCCATGTCCACTTGCGCTAATCATAATAATAATCCTACTCTATAAACAGACTGTTGGGCAGAGCCTGGGCTACTGCTTTCATTCAAGTTGCTCTTCTGTTTTGCTTGCATGCCCTGCTTTGAACTGAATTTTACGTTTTAAGGTAGCTTGTTTTTTGCATTACAGCAAGAGAGCTTGACCTTTTGTGGAGAATGAGTGGTTTCTAAAATATAAGTGCTAAGGTGAATCTTAGCCCTTTTAGTCTGTGACATAAGGTGGATCAAATTCTGCTCAAATTCAAGCATGCATCGGGCATTATTGTACTGAGGTGATGGAGTTAATAGGCAGAACAGACGTAGCATATGGCCTGTGGATGATGTTCAGTGCTCAGCATATTTAGAATGTAGAGGTAGTAGAATCATTGTGATAATCTGAAAAGACACTTGAAAAAATGTAATCCTGGTCGTTATTTCATTTATAATATTTATTAAATCTCATTCCTATAGGAGAAAGATTGCTGTAGAAGGATTATCTCAATGTTATTTCATCTCAATTTGGAGACAAGAAGATCTGGATTCAGTGTGTATCCTCAGAACTTGGGAAGAGCACTAACCAACTTGATTATGCTCCTGCTTTGTGGCCAATTTAGGTCCATTTCTATCAATAAAATGATACTAATAAATTCTCATTATCTAAAATAGCCTATTCCAATATTCAGGAAGGACCAATGTATTTTGCTGTATCAGTAAAGCCACAGGTTTTGATCATGCTCTTCACCTCCTGAGGAGGTGGTTTAGAGTTAATATAAGTCATTAAGAAAGTCCCTGTGTAGTTCTTAAATTGTCTTTAACACCTTCATGTGCCCATCTAGAAAGTCATGGTCAAGACTATTTTCTTGTATACCACTACCAGGATATGGAATTCTAAGTCAAATTTTATCTCAGATGTGTAATGAAAATGTTTCTCAGTGTGGTAGCTGACTGAAGAACAGATTTGCTGCCCCAGAACCACAGCTCATATTTTTTCATTGTAATTCACTGCTAAACAATGAGAAGGAGGAAGCGAAAGGAAACCGTATAGTTTCTTGCTAGAGCTGAGCTCTGAAGAGCAGTAAGTTATCTACTATATTTAGATTTAACTTTTCATTTTGACAAAGATTACCTGCAGTGACATCATGAAACTTTAGCACAACACAGAGAGAAAACAGGAATGAATAGCCTATTTTGCATAGTTCACACAGCCAATTACTCAAATAGTAAGGACTGTTTTATGTGTAGCAAGAGCAACAAGAAGCCTGAAGCATGGCACACTGTGGCATAATGAAATAATGAATTTTGTTAAGTTACTGAATCCTGATTCAGAGGACTACTTGAACTCAAGTGGAATGTTAGTCCCATCAGGCAATAACACTTGTCACTACGTATGACTACACAGACCTGGACTAGACAGACAGGTATGTGTATTGGCTACTAAGGTATAGCCTGGCTTCTATTAAGCTTTTGCAGCTCAGCTATCTGATCCCCTAGAAAGCTCACCAAGCAGTCTCGTCTATAAAGGTGCTGCTCTCTCACAGCTCTCATCAATATCGCTAGAATTTGCTTATGCTCAGAATAACTCAGGAAGCTCTCAGCAAATTGCTTGGCTTCCAGATTTAAAAAAATTCAGCACATATAACCTGGGAGTAAAGGAATTCTTTGTCTGCTTTTTCTGATTTTTATATGGATGTTAACTGTGATTTATGAATGTGTTTTGTTCTTATGTTTCTTTTCCTCAAGACATTTCTGTAATTCATATTTGTAAAATTCTCTACTGTTCTCTGGTTTTTTGTACTGCAAATACATATTCTCACTATCAGTTTAGTTTATGACCTAGCAGGAACATGAATATCTTATGTATGCACTCAGATATTGCTTAACTTTAAACAAATTAATATTTATATGACCTTATTTATCTCTCTTTTACTCACTTATGTCTCTTTTTCCTGCAGGCAATGTGGGAAGCCTGAGCTGAAGCAATCTGCTCCTAAAGGACTGTACCCCATGGAAGGGACCCACGCTTGAGCAGTTTGTGAATAACTTCAGCGCGTGTGAAGGAGTCATGATGGAGAAGTTGGTGGAGGACTGTCTGCTGTGGGAGGGGCCCCACGCTGGAGCAGGGGCAGAGGGTGAGTATCCTCCTCTGAGGACGAAGGAGCAGCAGACATTGTGTGATGGACTGACCCCAACCCCCATTCCCTGTTCCCCTGTGCTGCTGGGTGGGAAAGAGGGAGAGAAATGGGGAGCAAACCTGGGACCAGGAAGAAGGGACGGTGGGAATGGGGGTTTTTACAACTTGGTTTTCTCTCTCATTATCCTAATCTGATTCGATTGGTAACAAATTCAATTGATTTTTTTCTTCCCCGAGTCGAGTCTGTGCTGCCTATGACCATAACTGGTGAGTGATCCCCCCTGTCCTTGTCTCGACCCACGAGCCTCTCCTTATATTTTCTCCTCCCCATCCCACTGGGGTGAGGAGTGAGCAAGCAGCTGCATGGTGCTCAGTTGCCAGCTGGGCCTTAACTGTCACACCATCTCATAAGTAGATACAGTTTGAGTAATTTCAGCTATTCATATTATACACATAAAATGTTGGAGGACTGTCTGCTGTGGGAGGGGCCCCACGCTGGAGCAGGGGC